AAAGCATACCTTTTTAGGTTTTCATCTATGCTTTCTTTGAGTCTCTCCTCTCTGAGACCAAGCATTCAACTCATAGTTGAGTACTTTCTTTCGTTTCAGTGTTCACACCATATTCTTGTTTCCTCCAAATTCATTGAAGATTTTGCTTTTTAAGGAATTGCCTCACCTTTAGTTCTCACAGTCCAATCAGTCCTTGAAGATTTTAGGCTTTAAGGAATTGCCAGTGGGTGTTGGTGGCAAAACCCCAGCACTGGAGAGGCTGGAGCAGGAGGGTCACTGGGAGTTCCAGTCCAGCCTAGGCTACACACCAAGACCATGTCTTACAAGGGTGGTAGTAGGGATTTAGGTCAGTATAGCAGAGCCTGCCTGGCAAGTGTGAGGTCCTGAGTTTGATTCCCAGTACCCGCTCCAAAGGAATTGCCTCCTTTTCCAGTGAAGAGGCAGAACTGAACTTCAAAGTCCTAACCGCCGATCCCATCCTCTTTTCCAACAATTTCACTAAACTTGATTTGCTTTTCCCCATACCCCATGGTTTTATACCCCTTCCCTACCCACACAGTTCTAATTTAGGGGGTACCCAGATGGTAAAGGACAGTAAAGGGGGAAGCATATTTGTCTTTCTACAAAGTTGGGCCTCAGACCCCGTGTAGTTGTGGGATACAGTGGATACAGTTCAGTGGATAGTTGGTTTGTCACAGTTTGCTTTAGGAGTGGATGTTATGAACAGGTCCCAGCAGGCCAACAGGTACCCATGTAGGGCCTGCAAGACCACTCCCCACCACGGACTGCGCCCCAGCCCCTGGCTTACCCTAGCCACCTCTCCTCCTGGTGGGTTTCCCTCTGAGACGAGGCAAGTGCTGAATACCACAGGTTTCAAGCCACCTGAAACGTGCTTAGGACAATGTCCCACGTCCCAGCCTCTGCCCCCCTCCCCGCAGCCCCCAGCTGTCTGCTGCAGCCTCAATCCCTGCAGATGGCACTCTGCACCACAGAAAGGCAACTTGCCCCCCCCCACCCCCCCAGCTCCTGGCTGTAATTGGACTCAGGCTGAAACAACCACGTCCCCACAAGGAAAGGAGGGCATTGGGGCGGGGACGGAGGAGAGGCTGTGGGAGAAGGGAGGGACCAAGGGAGAGAGCAGAGAAGCCTCCCGGCCCACTTCGCCGACTAAGCAGAAGAAAGATCAAAAAAAACGGAAAAGAGGAGAAGAGCAGACAGGCACTTTCAGGAACAATCCCGTCACCTCCAAGCGGACCGCGCTCTGGGAATCCAAGTGCAGCGCCTTCCGGAGACAAAGGCGCCCGCGGGAGCGGCGTGGACCCCAGGGCGCGGGCTCCGCCGGGAGCCGCACGGCCGGGCTCCCCGACTCTCGGACCATGTCTTCCGCCCCCCGCGGCCCCCGCAGCCTCCTGCTCCCCCTGCTCACGCTCTGCACCGCGCTCGCCTCCCTCGGCTCGGCCCAGAACAGCGGCTTCAGCCCCGAAGTAAGTGAGCCCCTCGGGCCTTCGCGGGCCGCGCCCGCCGGGGGAGGCGCGCTCGGGATCCCGCGGGGACCGCCCGGCTGGCAGAGGAGGGCTCTCGGGACCTCGCTGCCCGGCCTGCGGGACCCTCTCCCGCTGCGCCCTCCTGGGCTCCAGACTTCCAGTCCGCCAACTTTAGCCTGTCTCCGACTTACTACCCCGTTCCGCCTGTCCTTGCAAGAACTCCGCGGTGGGGGTGCCCCCTCCGTTCCCCTCCGGGACCCGGGAGCCGCTCAGCCTCGGACTCGCGCCAGCCCCGCGCCCTCGCCGATGTCATGTGCGAGCCGCTGTGTCCACAAGTTTCCTGCGCCCTAGCGCCCGCGGCGAGCCGGGCCGGCGCGCCCTCTGCGGACGCGTCTGCAGCCGGCGGCAGTCCGGGGACCCTCAGGGAGCCCGCCGGGCCCCGGCGTCGGGGCTCTCCGCCCGGCCGCGCTCCGCGCGCACAAAGCTCTCCTTGTGAGCCGGGGGTCAGCCGGCCGCCGCCTCCGCCCCCACCCCGCCGGCGCCTTCAGCCCTTTTCGTCCCGTTGTTAACTGTTTCTCCGCGTTAATTGTATGGCGACGGCGGCGTTGCACCCGCCTGGAGGAGGCAGAGGCCGGGCGCAGGCGTCCGCCCGGGTCCGCACACTCTCCCTGACCGTGGCCCCCCGGGCCCGAGAGGAAGCCGCGTGGGAGTTGCCTGAGGAAGTTTTTCCTCTCACTTTTATTTTGGGGTGAAGGTGGGAGACGGATTTAATCAGCTTCTTATTTTGGGCCATCCCAACCCACTCAGCCCAGCGATGGCCTGGGTGCGGTCGGGAGGGGCCGGGAAGGGCCCAGGAAGGGGGATGGGATCTGGATTTGGCTTCCTGCGCCCTAGCCCCCAGTCCTGGCCCAACCCTGGAGGAAAGTCTTCCCAAAGAAGAGCGAACCCTCTGTCCTCGAAAGGCGAAAGGCTCGGGCTGCCCAAAAGAGTGTGGCCCTAGGACAGGGCTGCCCACTGCTAACTCCCCACCCTGCCCATTTTCCTTCCCCTGCCCTGCTAGGCCCCCAGGGGAGGGGCCGCAGTTCTGGCTCGGTTTTAAGTGGGTCATGGGCTATCTTGGTGCCAGAACCACTATTTTGCTTCTGGGCCATTGAAGGGTGGGAAACAGGGAGGGAGGGGCAGGCCCAAGGGCTAGAATCCAGCGCCAGCAGTGGAGCTGCAGCTGGCCCACAGCTGCAGGACTCCCCAGGTGGGAGGTGTTCCCCTGACTTTTCTCTAGGGGAACACCTCTCACCTCCTATTCATCTGGACAAAGCCGGCCAAGTGAGTTCTGCCACCCAGCATAGCTGCTCTTCTCCAGGCCAGCCTGGAGGGAAAGCTGGGATGGCCTAGGCCTCAGCCAACAGGGTCCCTCCCACCAGGCCTCCACTGCCCTGCACCGGCTTCTGTGCAACCCTCTCCTCTTGGCCTGTCTGGCACCCTGCCCTTCCCCCATCCAGCCGCAGACACAAGAGTCCTCTCTTCTGTGGTTCCGACCTCATAGTCTCTGTGGTTCCTGCATTGCTCCAAGCCTGCTCCTGTGAGATGGAGGGGGAAAAAAACTTGCCCAGGCCTGGGAGGAGAGGGATAGGGGCACTTCCTTTTGAAGCCTTGTAGCTCTCAAGTTAAGGGAAGTCCCTTTCACAACTAAGCCACCATTTTTGTTTGCCAGGGAATGGGTCAGGGCTTGTGGGTGTGAATATTTAGAACTGCCTACCTCTTGATTCACAGAGGGATTTACCCCAAAATTCCAGACTCTGGATTCTCTCAGCTTTGTCACCCTCCCACTTGACACGCTGCCCTAGGAGCATTCCCCTCAGCTTGGCTCTCTGAGGGTTTTCCAAACTTGCAGCTCCAAGGGTAGGTAGGTGTCTCCTGTCCTTCCCCAAGCCCTGAAATGGCTGTTCCCCCTAGGGTCAGGAGCCCAGGGTGTGTCTGTCCCACAAGTGAGGCTAGGGGCAAAGGGAGTAACCTGCATACTTGGGCACAGGCTACAGCAGGCCTCCCGGGGGCACTGGCAGTGCCATCAGTCAGCACAGGTCAGGGCAAGCCTACAGCTTCCAGAGATCAGCCCTGATGGGAGCACCCTGACAGGCTCCCCTAGGGTATACCAGAGGTTAAATGTCATCACCAAATCCCTGAAGAAGGGCCCCTCCTTTTGGAGGGGAAAAGGATGGATTGTTTATATTTACAGCCCTAACTGCTGTCATACTTGGGGGATCACTTCCCAAAACTGTGTTGCAATTCTTGCCCCTGTGGGCTCAGGTCCCCAGTCAGCTGCTCCTGAATCACGCCCATTCCTGGCACTAGAGCATTGCTCCACCCCACAGGGTTGGGCCAAGGTGGAAAGGACCATGTAGAGATCCATCCTAAAGACCACGGGTAGAGGGTGCAGTGCTCTACCCTCCTCACCTTCTCACCCCCAAATCCCTGTCCTAGGTAATCTGTACCTTCCTTTGGACTCTGCTGGGGATTGAACTCAGGACCCTGCACTTGCCAGGCAGGCGCTTATTCTATTGAGCTATCTCCCTGGCCCTCCTTTGGACTCTTGAAAAGACAAATCAGGACCAGGGACCAGAGCTGTCTGGGTCATGTCTCCTTATGAGAGAATCCAAGCATCTCCATATTCCATATGTATCTTGGCTTGTCTTATTTTTGAGGTCTTAGGAAAGTACTCCATTGTTCTTATACTAAAGGCTGACTTTTTCCTGTGTGGGGCTTTTCAGTGTGTATACCTTTCAATCAAAACACCAAAACCTAACTTTAATGTAGGGCAATTTCCAGCCTCTATGTTGTGAGCAATACACAGCATGTAGCTGCTGAATCTTCACTGCCTCCCTTATCTTCTCTTCCATCCTGAAAGTCTAAATGGCCAGGGTGCTAGAGCAGGGCCAGACCTCTCCCCAGCCCCAGCTTCCCCTGTCAGCAGCCAGTCTTGGTCAGCTCTAGCTCCTTTGCTCCCCTCCTTTCTGAAAAGAAGTCAGTTTGTGGGTCCTGGAGACGTGGCAGCCTTGTCCTAGGAGAGCATCATGTTGTGCATAGAAGTATAGCCCTGACGCCACACTGCTCCCACCATGGGCACAAACCATTTTCAGGTGGGACATGCTAGATTTGCAAGAACACTGACCCAGAAGTCAGAAGGGCTGGAAGGAATCTCAGCTCTGAAAAGATTAAGGAAGTCTGTTAAACTGCCAGAGTTCTCGTTTTTTCAAGAAAGCTGCAGCGGGTGTGGAGCTTCGGCTGCTCACTCCTGCCTGCTCGCAGCCCCAACAGCACAAGCCATTTTGGGGCCCAGGCCAGAGCAGCCTGGGAGTTCCTCCAGACCCAGTGCCAGAGCTGGGCTGGGAGCACATCGCCCTTTCCTCTCCAAGCCAAGGGAGCCGGCCTGCCAGGGACTGTGGGGATGCACATGCACCCGGTGGCCAAGTGGGGGTGCTCTATACCACACCCCTCTCATTCCAGGCCTGGCTGCAGCAATATGGCTACCTGCCCCCCGGGGACCTACGTACCCATACACAGCGCTCGCCTCAGTCCCTCTCAGCTGCCATCGCTGCCATGCAGAAGTTCTACGGGCTGCGGGTGACAGGCAAGGCTGATGCAGACACCATGCAGTAAGTGCTCCACCCCATTAGGACTTCTGCCCAACATCCACTAGCAATGCTGAGCGCCAGAGATTTTGCCACGTGAATGCCTGGCTTCTTCTCCTGTGCTGATCTGGACCCTCTCAGAGTCACCCTGACCTCATAACCTTGGCCCTTCCTCACATTGACACACATAGCCTCGCCCTGCCTGATGCTGGGGCCAGAAGCTAGGATCCAGGGCTTGCTGCAGAGCTCCACCCTCACCCCTGCAGCCCTTTGTTTTCTTCACACGACCCTGAACCCAGTGTTCCCACTCCAGGGCCATGAAGCGCGCCCGCTGTGGTGTTCCAGACAAGTTTGGGGCTGAGATCAAAGCCAATGTTCGAAGGAAGCGCTATGCCATCCAGGGCCTTAAGTGGCAGCATAACGAGATCACTTTCTGGTGAGTCCAACAGGCCAGAGACCCTTCTCCCATCTGGCACCCTTCCCTATTACTTGCGCTATGCAGTCTCCCTTCCATTCCTGGGAAGCATCCTGGGGTTGGGGAGGACAGTGGCTGTAATCCTGAAAAGAATCCAGCCACCAGCACACACCTCACACCCCTGTGCCAGAGAGCCAAAGCCTGGGAAATGACTACGCTGACAGCTCTTGGGGCTGAGGCACTGTATAGGTAGCAGGAGAAGCAGGCCAGGCAAAGGGGGCTGGGCAGCTGTCAGACCCGGGAGAGTATAGGCAAGGATAGTTTTGCCCCCAGTTATCTTAACACACCCCATCCTCTCCCCTCATTGCTGGACCTCAGCATCCAGAATTACACCCCCAAGGTGGGCGAGTATGCCACATTTGAGGCAATTCGCAAGGCATTCCGCGTGTGGGAGAGTGCCACACCACTGCGTTTCCGAGAAGTACCCTATGCCTACATCCGAGAGGGCCATGAGAAGCAGGCCGACATCATGATCTTGTTTGCTGAGGGTTTCCATGGTGACAGCACGCCCTTTGATGGTGAGGGCGGCTTCCTGGCCCACGCCTACTTCCCAGGCCCCAACATTGGAGGGGACACCCACTTTGACTCTGCTGAGCCCTGGACTGTCCGGAATGAGGATCTGAATGGTGAGTGAGGGAGCCCTGGGTCCTACACTGGGGAGAATCAGCAGTCATTTGTGGAAAGATTCTCCTCTTTCCTTTCAAAATCCCAGGGCTAGAGGGGACTGCAGAGATCTTCCAGTCTAACTAACAAAAGCCAGAATCCTGTTTCAAGCTGCTTACATCCGGTTCCTTCTCACTCACTCCTTGACTGACTTTCTAGTCAAAGACTTCAAAGCATCCTTCTCATACACTTTTCCAAGCCAAAACCGTGTCCAGCTCTTGGGAGAAACTGAGGCCTGCAGAGGGCCTGACCTTCCCTCAACACAGGTCTTTCTGGAAGTGGGCTGCTGTGCCAGAGCACTCTGACTCCACCTAGGTTACTGACTAGATTTGTGCCTTATGTGCCAAGTAGGAATCTGGACCTCAGGAACTGGACACTGGGTGGAAAACATGGACAGTTGGTTTTGGGGGAAGTAGGGAGTCGAGGGAAGTGATCTAGGCTGTTGTCTCACCATTCCCATTCCTCCAGGGAATGACATCTTCCTGGTGGCTGTACATGAGCTGGGCCATGCCCTGGGCCTGGAGCATTCCAATGACCCTTCGGCCATCATGGCACCCTTTTACCAGTGGATGGACACAGAGAACTTTGTGTTGCCTGATGATGACCGCCGGGGCATCCAGCAACTTTATGGTGAGTCATCACACCCACACTTGCTCCTTCTGTGGTTTTGTTTCCTCCTGGTCTCTCCCGTCTGCATCTTCCCTCTCTCATACCCTGCAGTCCATACACGCGCACGCACACACACACACACAACCTGCCTCTATCAACTCCCACCTTTGAGCATCCCTCTTCTGTTGCCTCCAGCTGATTGTGTCAGCCTTCCCTAGGCCCCAAGGACCCATGCATACCTTTTTTAGGGTACTCTCTGGCCATCTGTCCTTCCATGTCTGAAGTGCCCCTGTTGTTCTGTCCCCCCAGGGAGTGAATCAGGGCTACCCACTAAGATGCCCCCTCAACCCAGGACTACCTTCCGGCCTTCTGTCCCTGATAAGCCCAAAAACCCCACCTATGGACCCAACATCTGTGATGGGAACTTTGACACTGTGGCCATGCTCCGAGGGGAGATGTTTGTTTTCAAGGTGAGAGGAAGAAATGGACTGGTTTGGGGAATAAATGGGCTGTATGGTGGTGTGTGTGTGTGGGGTGCTGATGTTAATTCTAAGGGACAGCTTGAGGGGCTGAGGAATAGGACTAAGCTACAGGCTGTACAGAGCTCTGCCACTTGGACTGGTTTCCAGGAGCGCTGGTTCTGGCGAGTGAGGAATAACCAAGTGATGGATGGCTACCCGATGCCCATTGGCCAGTTCTGGAGGGGCCTGCCTGCATCCATCAACACTGCCTATGAGAGGAAGGATGGCAAATTTGTCTTCTTCAAAGGTAACCAGGCAGTCCACCTTAGTCTTTACGAGTGGGGACGGTCTCCCTGGAAAAACTGAGTCCACTGGATTTTTCCAAAGATCCCAGAGCCCAAGTTGAACAGAGATTTTGCTCTTCTTTCTCCATCACAGGAGATAAGCACTGGGTGTTTGATGAGGCTTCTCTGGAACCGGGCTACCCCAAGCACATCAAGGAGCTGGGCCGAGGGCTGCCTACTGACAGGATCGATGCCGCTCTCTTTTGGATGCCCAATGGAAAGACCTACTTCTTCCGGGGAAACAAGTAAGACCTCAGGCCCTTAACCCCAGGCCTCCTGCCTCAGAAGCATAATCACTCCCACCCCTGAATTCTGGAGAAAGGCGCACTACCCCTTCAAGATGTTTCCCCAGAGAAGTACCTGGCTGAACCTTCCCTGTTACCTAGCAATGGGCAGCCTCACTGGGAGCCGCCTGAGTAGGATGTGACCGGGTCATCACTGCAGACCTGGTCATTTGACAAGTCCTGCCCCAGTGCTGTGTCTTCAACCCAGCAGCCAGGCACTGTCATTAAGAGCTGCTGGTGGCTCCTCGCAGCCTGGCCTCCCTCCTGCCTCCTCCTCCTGCCACTTCCAGCTGCAGGCCTTCATTACCCAGAACCCTATTCCCTGCCCTGGGCTGCACCCACCTGGCTCATGGGGCTGTGTCGCCCTGGGTCCTGCTGAGCATGTGCTCTGTGCCAACTACCCCCTCCCCAGGTACTACCGTTTCAATGAGGAGTTCAGGGCAGTGGACAGCGAGTACCCCAAAAACATCAAAGTCTGGGAAGGGATCCCTGACTCTCCCAGAGGGTCATTCATGGGCAGTGATGAAGGTGAGTGGAGTAAGGGCAAGTTCTGTGAGAGGAGGTGAGGTTTGGACTAGGGAGGAACATGGTGTGGAGCACAGTGCCCAAGAGTGGAGTCTTCCCCCATGCCAGGTGTGGGGCTCAGGGTCTTGACACATCCTACCCCTTTGTCCCTGCCACCCCTCCAACCTGGTATTTTGATTGCCCCCATTTCACAGCTGAGGGAAGTCATGTTTAGAAAGACTGAGGTGAGCTGGGCATAGTGGTACACACCTACAATGCCAGCACTGGGAAGCTGAGGCAGGAGGATCAAAAGTTGAAGACAGGGGCTGGGGAAATGGCTCGCAGAATAAGCGCTTGCCTGGCAAGCACAAGGGCCTGAGTTCAAAACCCCGGTTTCACAAAAAAAAAAAAAAAAAAAAAAGGTGAAGACCACTCTGGGCCATTTAGCAAGACTTTTGACTCTAAATAAAATTTTTTAAAAATTTAAAAAGACTTGGGGGTATAGCTCAATGCTCAGGCCCTGGATTCAATTCCCAGTATGGGGGGAAAGGTGTGGAAGGCAGGGACGGGATGAAGCAGAGAAGGGAGGATGGACAGGGGGAGGGAGGAAGGGCTGGCGTGGTGAGCCTGGCGGGCCTTACACTAACCCTGTTCCCTGCCCCTCTCCTCCTGGGGCCTCTGTGGACTCCACCCCATCTCATCTGTTCTCACCACCTTTCTGCCGGCCCCTCCAGTCTTCACTTACTTCTACAAGGGTAATAAATACTGGAAGTTCAACAACCAGAAGCTGAAGGTGGAGCCAGGCTACCCCAAGTCGGCGCTGCGGGACTGGATGGGCTGCCCGTCAGGGGGCCGGCCGGACGAGGGCACAGAGGGCACTGAGGAGGAGACGGAGGTGATCATCATTGAAGTGGAGGAGGAGGGCGGCGCCGCTGTGAATGTGGCCGCCGTGGTGCTGCCAGTGTTGCTGCTGCTCCTGGTGCTGGCTGTGGGCCTCGCAGTCTTCTTCTTCAGGCGCCATGGGACCCCTAAGCGACTGCTGTACTGCCAGCGTTCCCTGCTGGACAAGGTCTGACCCCCACCGCCCGCCCACCCACTCCTACCACGAAGACTTTGCCTGTGAAGGCGTGGCAGCAGGTGGGGGCGGGTGGGCTGCTCCTACCGGTCCTGAGCCCCCCCCCTCCTGCCTCCTGGCTGGCCCTGCCCAGCCTCGCCCACCCTCGCCCCGCTGTGGCTTCCTCCCTACCTGGGGACCCTGAGGGCCTCTGGCACTCAGGGAAGCCCCATTGCTTGTGTGTCCAGCCCCAACTGAATGTCGCAGGGGCTCTGCACTTGAAGGCTGGACCCTCACTGGTCCGGGTCAAACGGGGTCATCTGCTCCCTCTCTGTTCCCTGATTTTCCTTAAACCTCTGAACTCTGACCTCAGGAGGCTCTGGGCGCTGCAGCCCTGCAAGCCCCAAATGCGCCCAGTTAGCAGCCTCCCACCGCTCTTTGGCCAAATCTAATCTTGGTGGCAGAGACCCTGAGGGAAATGAGGACCAAGGACTGCTCCACCACGTTAAGACCTAGGAGGAAAACCTGGGAGGGTCTGGGTGGCCTGAGCACCCACTTTCCTCTCTATAACGACCTGTCGCTGCCCACCCAGCCCTGGAGAACATGCAGAGCAGGAGCCTGAGCCTGTGAAGACTAAGCACAGGCCTAGAAACCTGGCAGCCCCAGCCCCTCCGCTGAGTCACCTCAGTGGGGGCCTGCAAGGTGGGGAGAGCCAAGGGGATGGGGATGGGCCCAAGGGGATGTGCCCAGGCTGAGTGGGCCAAGTGGAGGACCAGGGCTGGGGCCACTGAGGAGTCTTGCCATAATGGTTGGGGCCTGAGGCAGAGCATCAGAGGGGATGGGAAGGAGGGGTGTCAGCGGTGGGGGGCTGAGCACAGGGTGGCTGAGGTACCCAGGGGAGACACACTGGCTCCTCTCTGTTCCCTTTCTTGCTGACTAGATGGCATAGTGGGTGGACAGGAAGCCCGCAAATGAGCCACTAGGCACATGTGCAGGGGCTGGGACTCAGGGCCTTGCTGAGAGGCTACCTACTCGTGGGACTAGGGAGAGTTCAGGGGTCTGCAGTCTGCCCTGCCACACCCAGTGGCACTTAATGGGATCAGCACCTCTTGTCCCTGCCACCACACTCCTCAGCCCACCTTACCCGTGTCCTGCCCTCCCCTCCCCCACCCAGCCCACCCACTGAAGTCTCCTTCGGCCACCATAGGTGGTCATGGTACTGGGGACTTGGGAGAATGAGACCTGTGTTGGAGGAGAGGAGAAGGGTGTTGGGGTGGGGTGTGGGACAGGGGAATGGGGTGAACGGTGCTGGAAGTTCGGCTAAATTTCTGTCTTGTTTGTTTTTTTGTTTTGTTTAATGTATATTTTTATTATAATTATTATATATGAACTCCATTCAAGTCGTTCCTTTTCGTTAAGGGGCATGGGAGGGGTGGGGGAGGGAGGCAGAGGCATCTGACCCCAGGAACCTGCAGGGCGGGGCTGGGTCAGTGCCCTCTAAGGACATTTTTGACTATGTTCAACCTTTCCACAAAGAATAAACTGTGTTTCACATTTTTTGTGTGGCTGCAGTTCTGTTCTGCACAGGGGTAAAGGGATGTGGTTGAGGGGTCTGGAGAGGAACAAGCTGGCGTCATGAACAGAGTTTTCCATGAGGTGGGGTTTGGGGGATTTTTCATAGAAGAATGTTTATTCTGAATGCTACAAAGAGGATTCAAGGGCCAGAGCTAGGGAACAGGACACACGCTATTGGGGGCTAGGGACAGAGTCCAAGAGTTTGCTCCCAACCTGCCTTAAAAGGCTACCTTTTACAGCCAGGGCTGCTAAAAGACAGAGGAAGTGGTCAAGCTGAGGCCACTTGGAAGTCTTAAATTGCGTTACCCTGCTGTGTGATCTGGCCACCACCCCTGAGCTCCCCAACACCTCTGCCTCAGCGGGGGTATGACCGAGGTCATTTTGGCTCAGGCAGTCTCAGGCCCTAAGAAAGCTCTTCTGGGACCGGGAAGTCCTGTGCTGGAGCAGGATGCCAGAGAGAAACTGCCCTGCAGCTGGTGAGCAGTGGTCTCCCCTCAGCGGCCCAGGAGAAGCAGGGTGGCCAGGTTGGAAGGGCAGAATAACAAAGCTTTGTTTCCTCTTTCCTTAGGAGCCACTGCCCTAGACAGGGTTCCCAGGCTACTGACCCACCCTTCCTCCAAAAGCCGGCCTGAGTGGAACAGGCTTGGCTGCTGAGTCAGCTCAGCTGGAGGAGAGCAGCCCCCTTTCTTCACCCCCCTTCCCTTCCTGCCCTGGCCCAGCCCACCCGGGCTCCAGCCCAGGTCCTTCACAGCCTGCCTGGCGCAGCCCCGGCCCCACCTATGCCAGTCATCCACCCAGCTGCTATTCAGGGCTGGTTGGTGTGATTGCTTTGGCAGAAGGGGTACCCCACCTTCCTGCCAGCCAGGAACCCTGACCCCAGGCCTGGCCTCCTGCACCTCCCTTGCCAACAGCTGTTTGGTAGGGCTGGTATATCTCGTGGAGCTGGACACCGCCTCCTCACCATCCTCACGAGAGGGATAGGGACCTTGAAAAGGCAGCATGGGGAACTCAGAGGCATGGGGGGTGCATGTGGCAAGAAACTCAGAGATGAGCTCATGTCCCTTTGTGTTTTTGTGGTCCACATCTGGAGGCAATTACAGATGTTATCCAGTGGGAGTTCTGCAAAACACAGCTGGAGCCAGTGGAGGAGCTGGGAGGGGGGCTGCCAGAGGGAAGAGGAGGGGGAGCCTTGGGTTCCCGCGGCTGGAGTGTGGTTTCCCCATCACGAGGAAATTGTTTGGCCGTGATTCTGGAATCACAAGACGCTCTCTGAAGCCAAGAGGGAGAGAAGGGAATGGAAGACCAGAGACAAAGGGGAAAGAGGTGGAAGACAGGCTTTAGAAATACAGTCAGTGCCAAAGCGCTTGCCCAGCATATCTGGGCCTCAGGTTAGATTCCCCAGCCCCTTCATCTTTCTTCCAAGGTGGAGACTCCAGAGTCCTGTGGCACCTTGTGATCGGTGAACCCTTGGCAGCCTGGGGTATAGGGAACCAAAGGGCCCTATAGCTCCCGAGGGCCTGCATTCTGCTTTTGCTGGCCGATTTGTCCACTGGGCCTGACCCAGTTTTTGTGGTTCCAAGTTCCTTTATTCGAAAGCAGCACATGAGTTGGAGCAGCCAGCGGGGAGCCAAAGGCAATCTGTGGAGGTTTGGGCAAGACTCAGGGACCCAGGTCTGAGGAGGTGCTGGCCTGGGAGCCAGGGGCAGGATTCTGCCTACCACCGAACCCCACACACTGGAGGGGGCCCAGGAGTTCCCTCACCGCTGCCTTGCCCTGTCCAGGGCTCCTGCCACCAGCTGGGCCCATGCCTCCAGGGCTGCCAGCCAGGCACTGGGCCCGCAGGGTGGGACCGAGAGATCCAAGAGGAGCCGCGCCCTCCACAGAGAGGCCTGGGCACGCGCACAATCTGGCCAGCCCTGCTATGCCTCACTGTCCACCTCAGACCACTGAACCCACAATCTGGTAGACTTCCCAGTCCTCCTTCCCTCTGCATACACCTTCCTGTTCCAGCAAAGGGGAAGCTAGCATCTACTAAGGTCCCTACAACATGCAATGGCAGGAGCACTGACATAGCCCCATTTTACAGATAAAGAAACTGAGGCTCAGAAAAATACATGACTTAATCAAGCTCAAAGCTTCTTAAGTGCGATTTTTTTTTTCATTTGTGTATTTGGTACAGGGTCTCACTACACAGATCAGACTCGTGGTGATCCTGCTGTTTTCAGCCTCTCTAGCGCTGGGAGTACAGGTATGCACTACCATGCCCAGCTCAGCGTGTACTACTCTTGCCAGCTCAGCATGTCCCGGGGGCAGGGCCAGTGTGACATGAGGACCAGGGATCAAACCCTGGTCCCTGCCATTGCCAAAGCAGGCAGTTGAATTGAACTATCTGACCTGAACTATCTCACCTGCTCTAAGTACAAATTTTTTTATTATTTTTTATTACAATTTAGATCTGCATAACAATCACATTCACCATAGGGAATCTGTCCCTGTACATGATATACCTTAGTTATAAGTCCACATTGAAGCCAAGGTCTGGGGCCAGTGAGATAGCTCAGCAGACTAAATGTCTGCTTTGGCAAGCTCAGGGATCAGGGTTCGATCCCTGATCCCACATGCTGTGCCAGCTCCGCTCCCTGCTGCAGTGGTACACACTTAGGAGACTGCAAACAGGAGGCTAATTATGAGTCCAAGCTGCATGGTAAGATCCTGTACCAAATACATAAAACCAAAGCAAAGAGACTGTGATGGGGGCTGGGGAGATAGCTCAGTAGAATAAGCACTTGCCTGGCAAGCACACAGCCTGAGTTCAATCCCTGGTTCCACAGAGAGACTGTGATCTTTCTGTGAGTTCAAAACCAGCATGGGCTACAAAGTGAGCTCAAGGTTAGCCTAAACTGCATATTGAGATGCTGCCTCAAAAAAATAATAATAAATAAAGCCCAAGTCTGATCCCCCCACTTCTTTTTGCACGAGCAGGTTCTGGCAGTGTGTCTCGATCGTCAGTAGCGGGTGTCTGTGGTATTGTGTCCTGCATCTGTCAGCATCTGTGGGCTTGCTCACTGCACCACGGCAGTGTCTGTGTGGGGAGAGGATTCTTCCCCAGGAGGCTGCTGGGCCACCCCTCACCCTCAGAGGCAGGAGCAGGCACTGAAAGAAGTGGGCAAGGAGACTCCAGCCTGAGAGGCTGTGAAAGACCATGCCACAGACAGGGAAAGGGTGGGGCAGTGAACAGCTGGGCTCCCGGGCCTGGGGGAGGTGGAGGCCTTTAGGGTGGTGACCATTCTCAGAAAAAGAAACCCCACACAAGGCTGACCCACTGCCCAGGAACCCCTGTACCTCCTTCCTACCCACCCGACATCTGAATTCACCTCATTTAGCAGATCAGTTGTACATACCTAGGCCTACCCTGGGGCTTTCTGCTTTTCTTCCTCAGTCTTAGAGCAGGGGACCCACAGGCAGCCTTCAAGGGGCCAAGCAGCCAGGCCCTGGAAGGAAGGCAGCCCTGACTGGCCTGAAGCCACCTTCTAAGTGAGATCACACACATACTTTCCACCCTGGCCTAGCGCCGTTGGCTCAGCTCCTTCCAGGCCAGCCTTTCCCAGTCAGGCCCAGGCCTCCCTTGTCCTCCCCTGCCACCAGTCCTGGGCCACACATTCCACAGCAGAATCACGGGACACCTCAGGCCAGGACTGTCCTTTCTTCCCCAGAGAGCAGCTTCCTCCACCTTGACATGAGGCCAGCTCCTTGCAGAGTCCCTTATTCCTGGGTCATCCAGGCCTTCATGGCTCAGGGGAGGACAGGGTGACAAGTACCCTATCCCCAAAGGGATGGGGGGACCTAGGGAGGGAAGAGTGGTAGAGCAGAGGGCACTGCAATGAATGGGCGGAAGGACTTCCTTCAAGTGCCCACAGTGGCTCGCTGACTCAGGGCCTAGACCACATCTGGGAGCTGCCTCACAGTGGGTCACATCCTGCTGGATCACTTGATTTCCCACTTTGCACCACTTCCCGGCCCTGGGTGGGGCATGGCCAGGCTTCCCACCAAGAGGAGGACAGACCTGTACCTCCAAAGGCACCACTTGCTTCCATTTGTTCTGTGATCTGAGGCACCTTCATCTCACCGCCAAACATGTGAAAGGGGCCAGAGAATAAGCACAGTGCCCTGAGGCTTCCCCGGTCAGCTCAGTGCCTGGCCATGCTAGGACCCACAGCCTGAATCTGGTACTCTCCGGGGCCTTTGGTTAGGACGGTATATTCAGACACAGGGGACAATTCTTCCCACTTTAGATCCCCAAACTATGGCCACTGGAAATGGATCACATAGCTACTACTCACCTTTACCAGCTGCTGATGGCATGGTTCTGTCAAGGAATTCCTAGAACTCAGGGCCACTGACAGATTTGCTCTGCTCTTCTCTTATAAAAGGGTGAGAGGACAGACAGGAAATGTGTTGCACTGCATGTGCAGGGGAGGCCGTGATAATGCACATGCACCGCGGGTGGAAGGTGTGTTTGTGTAAGTGTTGCATGCATATGTACAGAAGAACTGTACACCAAGGAATACATAAACTAAATAATCGGTAGGATGTACATTTAAACTTCATGGACCTTGTGAATGTCACTGTATGTTTGATCTCAGTCTTTAAAAGTTTTTGTTATTGTTTTGGTTTGGTTTGTTTCTTTTGGAGACCAGGCTGTGATCCTCCTGCCTCAGCCTCCGGAGTGCTAACCTTCTGAGAGTGTGGGCTGCCACCACTGGCTCTGAAAAGTATTTTTTACAAAGAAAGAAAAACCATCCTAGGGCAAAGGGGCTCACACTCCCAGAACCCTATAGGTCATCTGACCCCAAACGACCCCTAATCTGAGAAGGCGCAGTGTTAGTCTGCATTGCCCCAGCTTTTCTGGAGCCACCAAGACTTCAAGTTGTCCCCCAGCCCGAAGGCGACCCGGCCTGGTGGGCCCCGTGGGGAGGTCTCCC